GTTTTTAAATTTGTATATGATTGTGTATTTACCATCAAAATTACATCGTTTTGTGAATTTTAGAAAGAACAAAATTACGCATGGAGGGGATTCGAACCCATGATCTCTACTTAAAATCTGGAAGACACAACCACTTTGCCNTGATAAGCTTCGTTAAATTCAAATAAATATAATACGATTTTCATTTTTCATCGACTCTAACCTAGAAATTGAAAACCCAGAAAGAAAAACTCGAGCTTCATTCTAAAAATTAGCCCAAATGAAGCTAAAAGCGAAATTCAATTCAATAGAACCATGATTTTTCCTAGAAATTCGACGACCCATAAGGGAAAGACTCGAGCTTCAAACACAAAATGAGTCCAAAAGCATCAAAATGAAGGTAGACGCAAAATTTAGATGAAGAAACTAAAGAGAGTCCTTCACGGGAGAGATTCAGAGATTTTGAGAAAGAGAAGGAAAATGGTGAATTTTGATTTAGAGACGGTGAACATCGTATTATATTTGTATATGTTTGTGAATTTAACAAAACTTATCATGGCAAAGTAGATGTGTCTTCAGGATTTTTAGTAGAGAACAAAGGTTCGAATCCCCTCTATGTAATTTTGTTCTATTTGAAATTAGCAAAACAACGTAGTTTTGATGGTAAATACACAATCATATACAAACTAAAAAACATATACACAATTAAGAGTTATATTGCAGGTTTTCATAGAGTTGAATGGATTGATTTGTATTTTTCTAAGTTGAAGAGTATTCTTGCAAAAATAAAAATTGTGGAGGGTTATTTTGCATGTTTACATAGAGTTGACTGCATTGATTTGCATTTTTCTAAGTTGAAGGGTAATCTTACGAAAAAAATTATTGTGGAGGGTTATTTTGCAGAAATCTCTTTTAAATTCTACGATTATTTAATTAATGCATCATAACATTGTAACAACTAAAAGTTGCATCTTTTCAAAAAAAATCATTTTATGGTTATTAATGCAACATATAGAGTTGGGTCTTTTTGAAAAACATTGTTTTATTATTATTAATGAATCTTGAGATTGCATCTTTTTTAATAATCGTTTTATGATTATTAAACGATATTAGGATTGCGTCTTTTTTAAGAGAAAAACCATTTTAGGGTGATTAATGCATCATACGATTGCGTCTTTTTGGACAAAATCATTTTATGGTAATCAATGCATTCTAACTTCTAAGGTTGTTTTTTCTCAAAAAACCAATTAATGGTTAATAATGTATCTTAGGAAAAAGTATCCTACGATTGCGTCTTTTTAGAAAAATTATGGTTATTTAGATAGGCCAGTTAGGTCTTTTTATTATAACTTCGGCATACATTCATGATTTACCTTTCGCATTGTACCGATAGATGTATACATTGCCAATAATAATGCTTTCAAATGGCTAGCATAGAAAATACATTGTAGGTTGCATTTTCTTTTTTTTGACATTTTTTGGTTATTAATTTTATAGGATTGTGTCTTCTCGAATAAAAAGTTGTTTTATTTGTCATATTAATATATCTTAGGATTGCATCTTTTAAAAAATATATATATGTTTTGTGGTTACTAACCCATCCTAGGATTGTGTTTTTTTTCTTTCCATTTCTTCTTTGTTATGTTTATTTCTTTCAAGGTCTTTTATGTTTTCTTTCAAATATGTTGATAATTTTGATTGGTCTCGATCTATGTGACCATATATAAATATGTTTAATTTCTTATTACATAGTCTTTATAAGTTTGATTTGGATTATTCGACTTGACAATTAACTATGCTTTAAAATCTATTAGATATGATTACGGGTTTATGGAGTATCTTTATCCCCGCGAAATTGCAGGGGTTCGAGTCCTTCTTATTACAAATGCAAACATTAGTAAATGCAAGAATGTTTGGCGCTCGAGTTCATAGTAAATCAAACTACTAAATTATATGCGAAATTTGAAAAAAAAAGCAAAATTTAATCATTAAACTTTTCCTGCGATCATAAAAGCTTTGTAAACGACGGGACGAATCCGATCAGATCCTCCCCAAGCGGCTTCAAGCTCTTTGACCATACTCTCCGGTAACAACTCGACGCCTTTCTCTTTGGCCGTCACGATCGCCGACCACGATCTGAACATCCTTACGATCCCTTCAAACGACGTCGTTTTAGGCATCTCCAGCTTCAGTGGCTTCCCTTCCGATCCCATCCCCACGCTTTCGAATGGAAACGGTAATGCTTCGTACGAATCGAAGATGTGTTGAATGTTCGGGTACTTCCAATACGGCAGCGTTTGAGCGTGGAATCGATACTGGACGGCGTCGAACTCCGGTGTCACCACGACGTCGTTGTATCCCCACACGGCGATGATTCCGCCGGGTTTACGGAGGACGCGCTTGGCGACTGCGTAGAACTTTGGGAGGTCGAACCAGTGTACGGCTTGAGCGACGGTGATGAGATCCACCGAGTTCTCTCCTCCGATTAGCTCCACTAGCTCGTCGTCCGTCATCGACGACGGAGTATGGCGATAGTCGATCTTCGGATGCGGCGTTGCTAGCTTCAGCTGCGATTCGCTCAAGTCCGTCGCTATGACTCTCTCGTAATGATCTGCGACCTGTTTGTTTACACAGGCAAAAGTCAAAGCTAAGATCTGAACTGAATCATATACAAAAAGAGGCTAAATCTGTCAAATATGAGATCCAATTGGGTAAACGAAGTTTCATGAGGATCGAATACTGACGGCGAGAGCTGCTTGCCCGTTGCCGGTGGCGGCATCCCAGGCTAAAGCGTGGTGATCGGTGAGATTTGCGAGCTTTGAGAACCAATCCGATGGGTAATTAGGCCTTGCGTCGAGGTAGAGATCAGCTTGTTTATCAAACAATCCTGCCATTTTTCTCTGTGTTTTGCTTTTTTCCTCTTCTCCTTTTTCTGGTTTAGTTTGTAGCAATGTCTCACTGCTCATATATAGTAGTAGTCTTTTGTGGCTTGTGGGAATCTCAAAAGTCAACAAGGTTCGCTTGAATCTGGAAAGCTTTTTTGAAAGTCCAAAAAGGACTTTCCTTTTACACTAAAATAACGATTAAAGTCTCTTGCTTTCAATACTTTCAGATCTAATGTTCATCTCCCTAAACAGTAAACGCCATGGAGACACTAGAAACTGAGAAACTCCTCTCAGAGGAAAAACCTCTTTTAGAACCATTTTCAAATCATTCTGAGAACAAGACAAAAGCAAGAAGCAACGCTGTTATCTCAGTTCTGCTTCAGCCCTTTCAATGGCTAAAGATGTTGTGTGATAGGCTAAACCCGAGCTTTGTTCTAGGCGTGGTCCTTGTGTACGGTTTAAACCAAGGCTTCTCTGGTTCGCTCTTCAAAGTCGTCACAGACTATTACTGGAAAGATGTCCAGCAAGTGCAGCCATCTGTTGTGCAGCTTTACATGGGATTATATTACATCCCATGGGTCATGAGACCCATTTGGGGTCTCCTCACCGATGTTTTTCCGATCAGAGGTTATAAAAGAAAGCCTTATTTTTTGGTTTCTGGTGTTCTTGGTTTGGTCTCTGCGATTGCAATTGCAGTTCTTGGTAAGTTGCCCGCTGCTTTGGCTTTAAGCTGCCTCATAGGGGTCTCTGCAGCTATGGCCATTGCAGATGTGGCGATTGATGCTTGTATAGCAACAAACAGCATCAATATTCGGTCTTTGGCTCCTGATATACAGAGCCTTTGCATGGTTTGTTCTTCTGCTGGTGCTTTGGTGGGATATGCAACTAGTGGAGTCTTTGTTCATCAGCTTGGACCTCAGGTTGGACCTTTTGGATCACGTTTTCAGATTGAGTTATCGAGATTGTAGTCTTGATTTCTTGCGTTTAGAATTTGCTTGTTTTTTCGACCTTTCTATTTATTTTACTCCACTTAGCATTTCATATTCCATGTTCTTTGTGATAGGGAGCACTAGGGATATTAGCATTGCCACCTGCAACAATTGTCATACTCGGGTTTTTCATCTACGAGAAAAGATCTTCTACTGTTCTATTACAGAAAAACAAAAAGGTGAGACCGTTGCCTGTAATCCCAATTACTCCTCCTCTTTATTTGTTTCCACCGGGGCAATTTGAAAATTCCTTCCTCTAATGGTTGAATCTTGATGAAAGTTTGAGCAATCATTTGAATGTTGTTTAGGACGCAGATGGTGTAGGAGTAGCGGTGAAGGGAATGTATAAAACAATAAAGTACCCTCAAGTATGGAAGCCATCACTTTACATGTTCGTATCCTTAGCTCTCAACATCAGCACACATGAAGGCTACTTCTACTGGTACACTGATCCTACAGCTGGGCCCGCCTTTTCTCAGGTTGGTTTTACGGTTTCACATTGGCCACAAGAGCACAGAGTAGAGATGAAAAATAGAAAATTCCCTCTTTTAAAGATCTTGTTTAGAGGATAGAGATCAAATGGTAAAATGGTTTAACTAGCATTGTAATTAAAGCCTAAGGGAAAGTCCTTGTTGCAAAAGGGAGAAAGTAGCTAAAGGCTAGTTGTATTGTGATATCATATGGATCATATTTGAGACGGTTTGTGTGCTTATGTTTAAATCCATGGAGTCACTTCCCTTGAAAGCCTATCCTTTAGAAAAAACTCTGTCTCTGGTTTTGTGGAGATCGGTATGCTTGATAAAATGGTGGCTATAGATAACACTGTTGAAATGACATATAGTGCTCTGGAGTTAATTTTCTGAATAAACCAAGATTGTTCAACCTAGATGTAATTCACTTTTGTCGTTTGGTCCAAATGCAGGAGTTTGTGGGCGTAATCTACGCGATGGGGGCATTAGCATCGATGTTTGGAGTTCTCGTATACCACAAGAAGCTCAAAGGCTATTCCTTTAGGAACATGCTCTTCTTCGCACAACTTCTATACGGCTTATCAGGAATGCTTGATCTCATCTTCATCAAACGCTTGAACTTAGTTCTCGGGATACCAGATTCCTTCTTTGTGATAACCGAAGAATCATTCTCAAGGATCATAAGCAAGATAAGATGGATCCCTATGGTCGTTCTAAGCACAAGGCTTTGTCCTCTGGGAATCGAAGGCACTTTCTTTGCTTTCCTCATGTGCATTGATAGTTTTGGACAGCTTGCTTCTAAATGGAGTGGAGGTATAGTTCTTCACGCATTCGGAGTCACGAGGCACGAGTTTGGGAATTTGTGGCTCGTGATTCTTCTAAGGAATTTGTTGCGACTCTTTACCTTGTGTTTCGTGTTCCTCGTTCCAGATGCTGATCATTTGGATGATCTTATCCCGTCTTCTGATTGTTTGCCAAAGAACGAATCAGACGATGATGATGACCACATTAAACTTTTGCTTCTGTAGAGTTGATAAATACATGGAGGTTTGTTTTGTATACATACATATTCAGAGAATACAGAGCACAGTGTTTCTTTGGGTTTTCGAACTACATGTCGTTTGATCATATTTAAAAGAGAGTACGTGTAGTTTGAATCTGTATAGCACGCACACAGGCAGTTGGAAACAGCTTGTAGTAAAGGAAATCACGCTGTTTTATTGAGAGACGGATACTTACGATTTTGCCCCTAGACTCTTGCTGGGTTTTTTATTTTTGTTTTGTTTTCCTCTCTGTGAAAACTTTGTTTATTCTTCGTCTAAACTCTCACTTCTGCTATCGAAGTCAAACAATCAGCTTGAGAGGATGGTAATCGATTTCTTCTCTTAACTAATTCTTTTATGGATTCCTCTCTCAATCGCGTAGATATCTTTTGGTTTGATCGATTTCGTTTCCATGGAAACTAGGTTTTCGATTTCGCCATTAATCCTCGAGTTGATTTATCGTTCGTTAATTGAAAGTATGAAAAAAATTGTAGATTTCTGATGGATTATTTTCCAGTTCTTTGACTATGCTCAGCTTCCTCTTTGTTGTGTAGGCTAACCATAACAGTAGACACACCATCATCTTGTTGCAAAATTCTCACAACAGAGCTACCAGGACTTTTATGGACTACGACTCTATAGGCCAAGCTATGGATGGTAACTGAATCACTCTTCTCTAACTAATTTGTAGTCATTTTTACTCATTCTTCTTGACTTTTGGTACTGAGGTTTATCTTTGTGGTTACAACAAGATGGTTAATTTGGAATTACGACTTGTATATTTATATAGTTCATGAGCTGTTTCTGTGACTTGCTCGGAGTGTCGGGGTTTAGATGATTCTTTCGCGGAAGAAACAGTGTGATATGAGCTGATGAATGTGCTTGGTTAATATGCTGGTGACATTACGGTTGGATGGTATTAGTTTATTGTGTTACTAGTTCCGTGATTCGTGTTTTGACTACTAATCTGTTTTCTCAATAAAGTGGAGGAAGATGGATTTCTTATTTCTTTGCCTTACTTCGGAGTATATGTGAATTAGGGAAGGC